CTCTCCTTTTTCTTAAGCAATCAAGGATGCAGTCAGTGTTAATGTATTATTTTTGTGAATATTTGGGTATTATACTGTTTATATTTTCTTATCACTGTGTAATTACAGGCTATAACAGAGACAGTATGACTCTCTCTGGATCTATCTCCAAGGTCCACAAAATTTCAACATCTCATTTGTATTACAGATCAAGAGTTTATCATCGCATGTTTTTCAAGTGACGTGTTGGTGTAAATGGAGACCAGCTCTTCTTGGTTTTACAAAGAGCATCCAGCAGTGATGCAATTATACAAACTCTCCATGTAGACAATGAACAAAAACTTGACTTCAATCACATTATATTCGGTGCTTAAGATAACTGCATACATATCAGTTAACACACAGTTCACGGCTCTCTCCAACCTCCACTAGGATCATCAAGTTCTCAAGACAGCAACATAACACTCAACGCTGGCTGCACAATCCTTATTTTCCTCCTGTGCCTCTTTCTGCCTGCATCAGGGCGGAAGAAGCTGCTAAGAAGCCAAGTACCTGTGTATGCCCGTACACAAACACAGAACAACTTCACATGCAGCCAATCCACCAGCCTGGCGCTTCCTGAGCACGGCAGGTACAAGCAGAGTGCGTGACAGCAGGTTCCACGTGCGCAGAGGTTCTCCCAGCCGCTCCGCGCGCACCGGGAGCTCCGCCGCCTACCCCGGAGCTGCGGTCCCGGCTGCAGGACGCGAGGCCGCAGATCCTGCTCTGGGCTGCGCTCTGCCCTGTTTGCTTCATGGCAGAAATTCCTCTCCCTGCAGGGCATGCAGCAGGCTACGCTACAGAAACAGCCTACTCCCAATTAATATCTTATATCCTGCCAGTATAAAGCCTGGGCAAAGGGCAACTTCCTCGATCCGTACCAGACAGGAACTAGCAATTTTATCTGGACTGTTTCAGGTAAATGACCAACTTGAGCAAGGGAGCTTTAAAAAGTGTCATTATCTTCCCAATCAATTTCACCCCGGAACACAAGTTTCTGCACTACTTTTAAGGCTGCACAAGTTGCTCTGAAAAGCGAGAAATTGCAAGGACTGATTTTTTTTAAAAGGTACTTTCTATCTTGTCAGAATCTGAAGGGATTCTCATAGGACACAGCTAGATATCATTTATTTATTCCTAACGTCACTCCCAAATATCATTTATTCATTCCATACGTTATAGACCTCCGTATGTTTATTCTATATGCTCATTTCATTTATTCATGCAAAACAGGGCCTTAGGTTAACAGCGCAGCTTGAACTGAACCTAATGACTTGTACGAATGCAGCTCGTGTCCTTGCTGCCCTGCTGCAAGACCAGCTCATCTCAGCTGCTGGTGCCTGGGTACTTGACCTCAGTGATGGGCGCTTCCCATCAACTCAAACAACGCGCCTACCAGCTGAAGTGTTTCCCTTCACAGAGGTGACAAGCGCAGGACACGCACAACCCGTGCGCACGAGCTCTCCTTGGGTGCTGCCCTGCTCCTCTGCAGGTGCCAGGCACCGCCGGGACCCCACCTCAATTCCTGCAGGGGAGAAATTTAACTCCTACAGCTCGTTCCACCTTGCAGAAAATTAACCCAGCAAAGCCACCAGGCCAAAAAAAAAAAATATCTATGGCTAGTGCAGCCTCTTCCTGCTCTGTTTTGTTGTATTTTTCCCCTTAAAAACCAATAACAACATGCAAATAAATAAGCAGACTGGTTTGTAACTGTTAATTTAAGGGGCTAGAAAATATAGGTAGAGACCATTTCCCTGTTATTGTGTTTGTTATCTATACAAAGAAAACAGAACGTTCTGGAATTAACTGCTTCTCTTGTCCCTGCGAGTTGTACAGCCTTCAGAAATACAAGCTCTTGCTCAGACTAGCCCAGCTAACACCTTTGAGGCAGATTTCTCAGCTCAAAAACAGTCAATCTCATTCCAGGTTACAACTTGGTAATACATCAAAAATTCATTAACACCTAACTTTAAATAACACTCTGTTAGGCTTTATCAGGTGGACAACGTTCACTAAGGATTATGCTGAAGTCACCAACAGAGGAACTCCACTCAGCACTCTCACTGACGTTAAAAAAAAAAATTGCAAGCAATAACACGGGAATAAAGATGAAAAAATCAATATATAAGAAACCTAAAAATACTTTGTTCATACTGCTCAAAAAATCAAAGAGTATGACCAACAAAAATAGCAAAGTATAACATGTTTCAAAGTGAAAACTGAGATTCAAGTATTTAAGCTTGGTGTAACAAAGAACAAGGAATGAGGAACTTGAGAGTAACCAAACCACGGCGAACACCAATAGTTTCAGTTACAAGTAACGTTCACAGAAATGGGAGCTACTGGGGTCACTCAGAGTTATGACATAGTGCGTGACACCCAAAACCAGAAGCACCTCAACACCGCCCAGCAGAACAGGCAGGCAGTGACCAAACGAGCTCCTCACTGAACTTTAACTTCATCCTCAAGAGCAGCCGAAGAGGCTTCCCTGGAAATGGGTGCGGGACCCGCCCGCGGGGCGGCTCCGCTCCACCGGCCTGGGAGCGGCCACCTGTGGAGCGCCGCCCGCAGCAAAACCCCACACAGCCCAGCAACAGCGATTTGATTTAAACGTGCTCCGCTAAAAATAAAACCCTGCAGTGCAGGGGATTCAATAAGTGTATTAATTAATTTGGTAAACAAGTGGGGTGAAGAGATTTTTTTTTGGCTACAAAGCAAGCAAGCAAGCAAACAAACAAACAAAACGCCCTTGAGTAGTTGCCCCAGTTACTGAACTCTGAGGACATAACCAACCAAACCAGAAACCGAGACAACAACAGCAACGAGGCAACGCGCAGACCAGGCCGCCGCCGCCTCCCGAGGCCGCCAGCGGCCCCGGCAGCTCCGGGGCC